CAAAGTAAACACACACACAAATAACACAAGAATTTATGGAGGTTCAGCGTTGTGCCTACGTTCGCTTGGTGATTCCCGAGAAATTCACTAGTATGAATTAAAATCGATTGAAATGAGAATCGTTCTCCATATCATCTTTTGTTTACATCTTAATACAAATTGGAGCCTTTACCTAAGAAAGCATTCTCTTTCAAGAAGAAGATTTCATTCCTCCCTTATGCGGATCTCATTCCTTATTCACATGGATTTTCCCCAGACTATCTTTCTTTGGTTGCTCCTTGATTACCAGAAGAACTTATTCTTAACTTCATTACCTTGTAGCGCAAGACGATTCCACATATCAAGGTCGGAATGGGATCGGGTGTTTTCTTGTCTCATCGTACTACCCGGTTTGTCTTGATTTTCGGAACCCTTTTAGTTACAATGAAGAACCCCCTTTGATCTCTTGCAAACCCTAGTTCTTTTTTCTCTCACCATTGGCTCAAACCAAATTTGATGCCTTAGCTTTCTCACGCTACAATAACCTAGTGCTAAAATGTTTATTTATATATCATAGGGATGTAGTACAATTATAGAAGGAATGGGAAACTTAAAAGACTTCAAAAGTAGGAGAAAATCTCTCCAGATTTGCTAGGGATATGCGCTGGATTCGTTTGTCCCACTCGAGCGCCATTGGTGCCGCTCAAGTGCTTGTGTCTGCTCGAGCAAGTGCTCTAGTGCTTGGGTCTGGCCGAGAAGTAGGGATGGCAACGGGTCGGGTAGGGGCCGGGTATGACAATACCATCCTTGTCCTCGCTCTCCATCCCTGCCCTCGTCTCTGAACCAATCCCTGTTTAATAGGTTTCAGGGAATCCCGTCCCCGTCCCCATCGGGGGACTATCCCCCATACCTGCCTCGAATCCTCCATTTTTTTTTTTTTTTTGCATAAAAAAAATTTATTATACATTTTAACATTAAGTTTCATATTAATTTATTGTCCAACACATCCAAATTAACTATAAAGTTCAACTCAACTATTCAAAATCACTTCAATATGAAATTCCAAAGAAAATAAGGAAGAATTAGGAGAGGGAGGTTAACTTGAGGTTAAATATAAATATTATAATTATATATTTATTTATTTAAATATAAACATATATATTTTGGGAGTTTCACTAAAACACCCAAAATGGGAGTTGAAATTATAAAAAAACCAAACACCCAAAACACTTTATAAACACACCCAAAACTCATCATTACACACACTCAAAACCCATTTATAAACACACCCAAAAATATACAATTGTTGACTTTGGGGTTGATTTTGGGTGTGTTTCTATGTTTAAATAGTATTTTAGGTTTTTTTTTATAAATATATGTCTAGGATTGGGTTTATTTATAAATTTGTAATATATTTTTGGGTCGGGTTCGGGGATGGGGACGCCAATACCATCCCCTCCCCATACCCGTCGGGGATTTTTCAAGTTTGGGGATCCCCATACCCAATACCCATTTGGCCCTAAAATCTTCTCCCGTTAGGGTCGGGGACCCGATAGGGACCTGTCCCTGCAGGAATTTTTGCCATCCCTACCGAGAAGTACCGCTCTGCCGCTTGAGCGTCTGTAGTTTCCACTTGAGCGGCAGAGCCCAGTCAAACTGCTGTAACTCTTTTGACCGTCTGTTTCCTTCACTCCTTCGCAACTTTAAGTGAGCTAAACATCAACACTTTCACAACCACCGTCACCTCCATTGTTACCACTGTTGCCACCACCAACTTTACTGGCATTGTCATTATCTCCACCACTCATGTTTATAAATTGATATTTCTAGAAAGAAAAATCAGAATTCCATGGAAATTCCATAGTTGATTTGGTTGAAGGAAACAAATTCAATATGAAAATTTGCAAATCCTAGGACTTTGATGGTTCTTAAAATCCACAACTTTTAAAAACCTTGGTGATTACCTCATCCAAACACTATGGATTTTTATTTTACACTTTTTTTTTGTCTTAAGAAAAACTTGATCAAGCCAACGGGGTCTAGTTCAATTAGTGGTTTCATGTTCGAATCTCATAGCGCCATGGTAGTGTTTGTGTGAGAAACCCTATTTTCCTGCAATTTAGACAATCATTTGTACTAAAAATAACACTTGATCAAGTGCTTAATTAGCCTCTTGATGATAAAGGACCTAAATTGATTGGCCCTTCCCTTCTATCTCATTTGGGTCGAAAGGTGGTGGTGGAAGATCCATAATTTTTTTTTTTCTCCAATGGAAAAAGACCCAAATGTTTGGTATGGGGCCTTCTCTCTGTTCCGTCTGGAGCTCACCATTTGGGTTATGAGTGAAACCCAAATCCACATTTGGATTGGGTCTGGGTTTGAGAAAAAAAGCTATTTACTTCCGGTCAATTTTAGAGTTAAAAAGACCTTTTTTCTTCTGAGAAAGGTTGAAAAGACCTACTTTTAAAGTGAATCTAAATAATCCATAAATGAAAATAAGTGAATCTAAATATAAATATTTGGAAAACAAACTCTAAATATAAATAAATTACTGAGAAAGTAAAATAAAATAAAATACTTAATCTTATGAACCGCCTAAAACTCCAATGACAATAGTGGTCATTGACCATGCAAGAAGGACTTGTATGTTACGCTAGCACTGTTTTGCTATTCTTATTCAATCACGCTCTGTCACGTTGAATTCTTATTATGCACGATAAAACATAATTAGTTAGAAATAACAAAACAGTGTTATTCCCATAATATACAAGTTATTCTCGTGGGATAAGCTCCCCTTTCTATCTTTATTTCTTTATCAATTATGTGTTCTTTTGGACATCTCTGTTGATGTGCTTACGCGTTCTGTTTTTTGGGGTCAATCATTAAAGAAAATAAAGAAAATAAAATAAAATAAAATAAAGGAAGACAGGCAGGGACCTCTTTGCTCCTCCCACGTGCAATAATGCCTTTGTATTCATATTTTGCAGTCCTTCCCCTCTTCCCTTTCCTGTACGGTACTTCAACATTTTTGGGATCACAAAACTAAAAAATAATAATAATAATAAAATAAAATAAAAATAGACAGCGAGAGAGTTTTTATTTAGGAAATTATATTATTTTAGTTGTGTGAATATAGTAAGAGCAATGCACATGCAAACCACTAATCAACATTTATTCGTTGGATATAATAATTATACGTTAAATCATGGAATAAGCATCCTTCCTGTATGCGATGGGTGGATGTAATGTAAACCCTACAAGCCATTGATACAGTTGACTTTTTATGGATTGACCAATAGAGGAACAAATTAGGATTTTGTGTTTAATTTAATATGTAGATTAACATTATCAAGTGGTTGATTCTTAATGCATGTATGTAGTGTAGATGGGGTCCACATTAGTGTGACAAACTTTTGGATCAAGGTCTTATACTTAACATGCGTTCTAACTTTTCCCCTAATCATTATTAGTGTCTCCTAAGTACTTTGATTAAAAAACAACACAAATCTGCCAACATTAGATAATGGAAGATACCAAGAAACCCTGTCTCTCAAAGAGAGAGAGAGAGAGAGAGAGAGAGAGAGAGAGAGAGAGAGAGAGAGGCAAAAAGGAACTCTCAAACCTTCCCATGTGAGGTTGATTTGGGGACAAAGCAAGCATTGGTGGGCTCTTACTAGCAATTCACATGGGGGGAGGAGGACATGGTTCTTACAAGCTCTCTCCCTTTCCTTTCACAGCTCATCCTCTCTAAATTCCCACATCCTCCCACTATACACCACTATCCAATATATTTTTATATACATACCCAAGTAGGGGACTTTCTCCTATGTGAGTCTACCACACCGAGAAATACTTGTATATACATGATATATAAATAATTTACCAATTGAAAGTAGAGATGAGCAAGCCAACATATATGGCCCTTTGATCATTATTGAGCATGTTCCATTCTTTTCATTAAACCAACAAGACTGAGAAACTTTTGTTACTAATTCACGTGTTGTAAGTTTTAACATTCGTTAAAAATGAGTTTATATATATATATTTCAAGGTATACTATTAATAAGTGTTACATATGTTATAACATTAATGAATTGACTGGTCACATGTCTAGCAGAAGTACAATTATACCACATGATAGTGTCACGATCTCAACAAGAAGGCGAAATATAGTAAATATCAAGATCTCGATCAATCAATGCTATGAGATAAGTAACAAATATGGGCCATAGATTTTCGCATCATTATTGTATCCAAGGATCAAAACCTCAATAATGTGACACAAGAAACTTGTACATATGTGTTAGCAAGGGAAGTGATGTATATCCTATTTATGAGTCCTTAAATTAGGATATATGTTGTAATAATATTATAATGAGGTTGAGGTAAGGGAAGGCAGGAAGAGGGGTCACATCGGCACGTGGAGGGCTGATTCCCCGAGTTAATAAACTAAGCAGAATGCTAGAGGTGATGACTTTCCAGTGAAACCCAAGTTGTAGACCCGCCTCAATGCTCCTTCAACCCCTTCCTTACCCCCACCAGCTGTTGCTAGCTGTCCCTAATCCCCACCCACATGTGACAAACCCCCCCTCTCTCCAAAACCTCTGGGCCTTAAAAAAATGTCCCAAAAATCCACAGACACACAAACACAGAAGAGAGAGAGAGAGAGAGAGAGAGAGAGTGAAATAACATAAGTTTAAGAGAGAGAATTGCCAGTCATTATGATGATTATTGTGCATGTTGCTCCTGCTCCATCTGCCTCTAATTTTGCTTCTGCTGCTGCCCATGTACTCTTGTTCAGATCCCTTCAACATCTCTCTCTCTCTCATTAGTGTTTTAGTGTGTGTGTGTTTTTTAGGAGCCCAAGATTTGCCCAAAGGATCAATTTTGCAGTTGTAAGTTGTTTGTTGGGTTGGTTGGTGTTGCCCTTTTTTATTTAAAGAAAATTTAGGTTTCTATCTCTCTCTCTCTCTCTCTCTCTCTCTCTCTCTCTCTCTCTCATAAGTTAACACAAACACACACATTACCACATAAAACACATTTTGGGGGGTGCCCTATATTTGGGAGGGGGGGTACACTTTGAGAAAATGGCTCAATTACCACCTAAAATACCAAGCATGGCACAAAATTGGGCATCCTTCCCTCACCAAAGGCTACCCACCACGGCCAATTTCATCCCCACCACCACCACTTCTGCTGCGGTCCAGCCACCGTCGCAACCGCAATGTAACTGGATCGACGAGTTCCTCGATTTCTCCTCCGCCAGGCGTGGGGTCCACCGGAGGTCCGCGAGCGATTCCATAGCCTTCATGGAGTCCCCGTTGACATTGGAGGAAGAATGCAGGAACCCGAGCACTGCCATGATGCATCATGGATCCACCAACAACCTCGGCTTCGACAGGCTTGACGACGAGCAGCTCATGTCCATGTTCTCCGACGACATGTCCGTCACCGTCCCGCCTACCGTGTCGTCTTCGAACCCGTCCACGCCGTCCGACCAGAACAGCAATAACGACGAGAATAATAACAACAACAGCAACAAGCCATTGATGGCTCATCAGGAGCAGCAGCAGCAGCACCCGAAAAGCGAGCCGGGAGAGGACGAAAGCTCGTGCGAGGCAGACCCTCATGCTCAATCTCATCCGCCACCAACCTCCCCAGCTGATCCCAAGAGGGTCAAAAGGTAATTTCACAACAATATAAAGTATATATATAGCATTTCAATGAGTTTTCTGCACACGGTTTTGCATGCATGAATTGGACAATAACCCATTTTCACAATGACTTCAAATTTGGCAATTAAAAACCAGATCTGTTACGTGAAATGAGATTGGAAATTCGGGTTGTTGTAAAAAATTCCATTAACTTATAACCATAGCTATATATATGTATAGCAGAATTTTGGCGAACCGGCAATCGGCTCAACGGTCCAGGGTCAGAAAGTTGCAATACATTTCAGAGCTTGAACGCAGCGTTACGACATTACAGGTACGTGCAAGATCAATTTGCTTTGCTTTTATTTTTATTTTTAATAATTCGTTAATTTGGCGTATAATTTCATTGATAAATTGCGTTTTAATGAATGCAAAATTGCAGTCGGAGGTATCAGCACTGTCGCCAAGGGTTGCATTTCTAGACCACCAGAGGTTGATTCTGAATGTGGATAACAGTGCTTTGAAGCAAAGGATTGCTGCTTTGGCTCAAGATAAGCTTTTCAAAGACGGTAAGTGAGAGAGAGAGAGAGAGAGAGAGAGAGAGAGAGAGAGCTTCTTCTTTAATTTGATATAATTAACTTTAATAAACCATGTGTTTATGTAATTTAATTGCATATAGAAACCATGATTAGGTTAATCAGTTTCATCCAGACCCTTGATCTTCGTCTTGTGGTGTAGCTTTTTCCCACTCGAGAACATATTCAAGAATTCATTGGACTTTTGGGAAAGTGCTTTCTTCCCTGTCACTGTCTACCTTCCGCAATTGGAAAAGCATTGGTTTAGACCTTTTAATCCCGCAGACAAATTCAAACAAAAAGTGGCATATTTGTGTTTTCTACAGTATTATTCAGTCCTTTATTATTTATTTATTTATTTATTTGGCTAGGTAATCTTAAGCTCTCATGCTTATCATTTGGATGTGGATAAATTTAAGAATATGCAAATCCCAAGATTTATTTTTATAGGAACAGAACTGAAGTTACAACATGATTTCTTCTCAAATCCTAAGATTTTAATTTTTTTTGTTGAATAAGCGATAGTTTTTATTGATAAGTAAGACAGAAGTACAATGCAACTATGTGCCGAAGCAGCAACATGATTTGTTTGTTTGTTTGTTTGTTGTTTTTTTTCAGCTCATCAAGAGGCACTAAAGAAGGAAATAGAGAGGTTAATGCAGGTTTATCACCACCAGAGCCTAAAGAAGATGGGAAACCAAAACGCACAGCAGCAACAGCAGCAACAGCAGCAGCAACCAAACCCAGATATCATGGTGTGTACGGATCACAATGAGCAGCAAATTCTGAATTGAGATGAGATTATATATATAAAAAAATGCATAGTGGCATATAATGCTAACTTTGGCCTTACATTCACGTGATGTGTTTCCACTTGGTATGCCTTGTGTGGGACCCCTGACAAGGTTGTGTGAGATTAGAGGCTTTAACATGGACACGTGGACTACTTGGATAGGGTGCTGAAAACATTTTTTATTTCATTTTCAGTAATCAATTCTTTTGGTTAGGAGGTTGGCCACTTGGCTTGGTTTTCTACTTTTATTTTTTTTCTTAATTTTCAGATTATTGTTTTTCAGATTTCTTTGTTTTTTTTTTCAAATTTTTGGTGGGGATTTTTTTTTTTCCTTGGTGGGGAGGGAGGGATCAAATACATTGGAGAAGAATTTGTCTGGGGCAGGAGTGGCCATGTGTGAGTCTGATTGATGTATCTTTTTTCTGTGCTTTTTCTTTCCCCTCTGGACTAATAATGCGATATGCCATTTGTTTTATGTTATTTGATTCTTTTGGAAGGAAATGTAAAAATTTATTTAACATTCAAAATGTATCTTGAATTGTTCATCAAATCTGCCATCATACACCTACTCTTTCGGTAAATTCTGTATTTAAGAGTGGGTGACAAAGGAGTGATATTTGTATTGTTCCGAGTAACATTATTTTAAGTTAGGGTCGTAAGACTAGATTGTAATTCGACTTGTTTTATTAATCTTATAAAATGACTCGACACTAATCAACCTTCTGTTATGTCTTAAATTTGGATGAAGAAGTTCATGTCTTACTTACATTATTGTATAACTTGTATTTAGCTGAACAAGGAAATTCAAAATGAAGTAAGTCCAACGGATAATTAACGCGTATCAAATTACTAATCGATCAGCGCGTAACTCCTGCGGTGCTTAATTAATTTCATGGCAATGGCCTCTATGTACAATGATTACATTTGACCAGATTGAAGATCAGTACTCAGTTGCATTTGGAGAATTCGTAGGAGTAGTTAGAGCAATGTCACTCACTTTTCCTGAGAACCGCCCCCTTTGATTCCCCCTGTGTTTCATTACAGCCATCATCAACTTCCAGATAACATTGTGTTCAGACATGGACATGGAATTATAAGCACGAAAGATGTAGATGGCAAGAGCCAGGGAGGATGTGCCTCCCGTGAAAAGGAACAACACCCAGAAGTAACTGGGGCTGAGACTAAGATTAAGACGGTCATCTTCTAGGTCCACGTCCATGCACTTCTGAGAAGCAAGCATGTTTTGTTCTAGATCTCTAAACGTTCCGTTTTCGGAGACCTTCAGCATTGCTTGAGTTACACTAGGAAGCAACTGAGATCCCCTTGGAAATGCCTGCAGAACAAGCAAGAAACTTGATTAAATGATTAAATCCCACCATGCATTTTGTTGCAGAAATGTGTAGTTGCTCAAATGAGAAAAGCTTCTTTAGAATTAGATAGAACATTTACAAATCCAAATCCCCCAATTTTGTATGTAGGTCCAGTCATGATGAAGCTTTTGCAGTTTTCTGCAAGGAACACTTTGGCCAAAGGAAGGTCAAGAAAGAGGGCTGCAACTTCTCTTCTTCTGAGGGCTGGAGCGTACTCATCACCCCTGGAGAAGTTCTTGATGTTGTTGGGGCGGAAGTGCAAAACTTCCTTCAGATATTTCGAAATATATGATGCTTCGGCACAACCAACCATTGCATTGCTGTTTTGCAATGCAAAAATATCAACCACATTCGGTTCAAGCTGCGGCAGAGTCAGCAAGCTGGAGAGCTTAGCGGTGTAAGTCTGCGTGATAACTAGAGCCATGAACAGCCACACGACCATTGTGATCCGTGACAGATTGCTATTTAACTTGTTCGCTTTGTTCAATCAGTGAAAGATAGATAATTAGTTGATGTTTTGAGATGAGTTTCAAAGTTAAAGCTTGTGGAGGAATTGTATGAATGAAGGAAATGAGTTTTGTTCTTACCATTCAAGGAGAAAAGAGTGCTGAAGGCTAACCAAATCAAGGTTCCTACTTGATTTGAGATGGAGCCTTTGAGTTCAGGGCAGTGGTTTCTCTCTATCAACCATATAACAAAGCCATTGTAGATACTTGTGGCTCCTATTAAAACCCACATGGCGTTTGTGAAAGGCTTTATGAATAACCATGCTTTCTCTCGTGTTCTTGAACGAACGGGTACTATCATTACCAGTCCGGATTCAGTGTAAGGCGCTGTGAATTCTGCATGCTGATATCGGTTGGCTAGTATCGATATACTACCAACTGCGGCGTCAAAGTTCTGCATTAATCCATTGAAAATTGGAAAAAAAAAAATATTGTGATTTGTATCAGTTCTTGGAAGTTGTTGGACAATGTATATAATCCTGCAATCAACCTCTTACCTTTAAATGAATTTGCTCCACTAAAGCATCAAATGTGCCATCGAAGGGAAGAAATTTGTACGGCAAATGAAATGGCAATTCTTGTAGAGTGGCATTAAAGACATCAATTGCAAGTCCTCTATAAGAGAAAGAGATGTTATTTCCCAAGTGAACTTGTTCCACTTCCACATATTGTTTGAATGTTGCTCTGGTTGGAACACCAATTTTCAGTGGATTGGCACTTGTTGGTGGACTCCATCCTTTCGGCGTACCCCGAATCCCCCCTGGCCAAAAAACTTGCCCCAAAGCGTTCATGGAATATTTAAATGTATCACTTTCACCAATTGTCTCTGAGAAACCTCGTCCATCTGACCAGAAACCAAGTTCTTTGTAGCTCTCTCCATTCACATTGATGATCTGATATGTATGTGCTGGAGCTATTGTTTGACCAGTAAAATTAATCTTCCCGCTTAAGCCATCAAAATCACTTTGCAAAATGTTTGATTTAATTTGCTGCCTTCCCTGCTTCTTCTTGCTCATTGCAAGGGCCGCTGTCCATGCTACATCATAAGCCTCTGCTGCAAAAATGCTGGGTTCATGGTTGACCACTTCAGGATGCTTGGAGCTAAACCGCTGGCGAAATTTATGACGAAAATCCTGAAAACGGGACTCATTTTCAGGGATGTAGCTCTTTACTCCAACAATTCCTTGCATTGAGGAGATGGTAGAGGCATTGAAGGAATGGACAAGGCTTGCAAAAGGATCCATAATGATCCATACGTAATCCTTTTCCATCATGTTCAATATTTTTGCCTTCTCAAATAGCTCAACTGCAACCGGCAATGACAAGTGGACCACAAACACTCTAAATTGGCTGCTCTTAAGCCTCTGAAGTTCCTCTGACAATGATGGAGAAGCAAAAGGCTGGATGGCTAAATAATGGCTAATTTCTGCACCTACTTCTTGGAGAGCATCAGATAGATGGCTTAGCACTGCTGGAGCTGAAAAGTCTTTGTCTTCATAGATTATGGTGACTTGATGCCACTGCCACCTTTGAACCATAGCTGCTATTGCTTCCATTTGCTTTAACTTGTTTGGTGAAGCTTGAACTAGAAAGGTGCACAGTTCTGTTGCCCACACTGGAGTTGCATCAGCTAAAGACATAATAGGAATTTGACTCTTACTTCCTATCTCAGCGACTAACGACACCTCTTCCCATGTTTGTGGACCGAGAATTGCTTGCACTTTATCCGTATTGATAAGACTTCTGGCTGCAATTTGATCAATGTAATGGCATTTAAATTTTATATTTCTTGCTTTTGCACACACAACTTCCAGGAATTAGTAAAAGCAATAGTACTCTGGGGAGTATCAGTATTTCTTGCTACTTGGTAAAGATTTTTAGCAGCAGAATGGTTAAACTAAGAAGATACCATTAAGTTCCATACATGTCATACAAAAATGTGTCAAAATTGAATTTATCTGTTTTCGTTGTACGGGATATCCTGAGTCCGAAGTCAATAGCAGTGCATCAGAAGACTACTTGTGTCACAGAAGCAGTGCAATGGCATTTGGATTGTGGGGAATTTGAAAACCAAGAAACAATAAGCTCTCTTAGATAAATTAGATGGATTAGCAGCTTCACCTGTCAAAGCTCTGGCTAATGCAGCAGCAGGGAGAGTTGCACTGGTCCTCCCGGCCAGCGCAAGAAGTGGTGAAACTGAATTAGGATGCAATACCATTTACCAACCATAATATTTTATTTAAAATTATAATTTTTTAAATTTATAAACTGATCAAAAGAATTTGATGATTGTCAACTTTGGCTTGCCCCAAGACTTGTCTTTGTCATAGAACAATACAGTGTGTGAAAAAAATCTATGTTGTGTGATCCTCTTCAGTTTTATATTTTCAACCAAGAAAAATGGATGTCCTTACATGATCTTGTTATTTAAGTTATGGTTCTAATTGTATGCTTTTGTTTCATAAAGACACATGAAGGTTTCATGATTGAAACATGATTGAAACATGTTTTGTGAGACAGTAGTCATATACAAATTTCTGCCCAAAACACAGCTTAACAGGGGGGAGAAAAAAATAAGGTACCTGCAAGAGCTGCCTGCAGGGGGTCCCCTTGAGAGTTTCTGATCTTCAAATCCAAACGCTGATTGTTTTTGTTAAAGAAATCCTCCACCGCAATCTGCATCGCAACGCTCTCTTCTTTGCCAATTCGAGAACTGTTATCCACAATGGCACCTAGTATACCCATGAAACCATCATCCTTTGTTGTGTCACTAATTCCATCAACTATCAAAATTTGTTTAAGTAGTAAAACGAAGGCCATGAAGGACAGAAAAGCTGAAAACTTGTCCATTCTGTGCAAATATGGCATTGGCAATCAATGGCTGTGTTTGTTTTCCTGTTTATAAGAAATAGAATTGGTCTCATATTCTTAAAACCAGTATTCAAATGACTCCCTTCGTTTTCTTGGGTCCTAGTCAATGCAAGGAATTGTATTTCCTGTCTTTTGTTGGGTCCTAGTCTTTGCGTAGTATAGTGTTCAGCAATTATGGTTCAATTTCCTGGTCATGTATGAACAAGACGACGAAAAAGAAAAGTAACTCAAATGTTGCTTCAATTTGTACACGAGTTGTATTTTGTCCCTTAACTAAATTATTTATTCAAATGGTCCCTCCACTCTTTATTATTCAGTGAACTGGTCCTACCCTATCGTCTAGTTTTATGTCAACATTTAATAATGTGAGCAACACATACTATATTTTTGGGATTAAATAGGACTTTTGACAGCTAAAGAAAATGAAAAAATAGGGTGAAAAAAAATAAATACAAAATTTCTTTATTTTTTAAATTAATTAAAAACTATATTTTGAAATGGAGTTTTGGGAGAGAGGGAAGAGAGGGGGTGGGGGCGGGGGTTGGGGGGGGATGTTAGCAAGGGGAAATGGGGATGGTGCAGGGGGTTGGCTGGGTTCCCTTTTTTTTTTTCCTTTCTATTTTCTAAATATTTTAGTTTTTAATAATAATGCAAAAAAAATCAAATAGTAAGTCACGTGACTTTTTGGACAGAAAAATGGATGAAATTCAAAAAATTTAACAGTAGAGGGTAA